CTCCCCCTTTAAAACTAGACGCACAAACGAATATAACTTACGTAATATTAGGCTGCTGGCGCCTGCTTTGTTGTAACCCTATAGAAAATTTCATGCGAATTTTGCATGCACATTAATATTTCATGTCATTGCATCGAAAAACGAATGAAACATTTATGAACGCGGCTCTGCATTAGAATAAATAACCTCTAGGCATTTTTATATAAAAAAAACTCCTTTAAAATAATATGCTCAACGTTCCATAACTCGACATGGCGCAGCGTTCTAAAATGCGTTGCGTTTATTCAGCTAGTGTCTGATTTGCAACTATCTAACCACCATGTTGATGATTGTTTGATTTGTTTGCTCTCTTTCTCTCTCGCTCTCTCTCTCTCTCTCTCTCTCGTGCGCTGCTCTCGCTCGCTCTGCGCTCTGCGTGCGGGTCGTGTCTCTCTCTCGTCGGTCTCTCTCTCTCGCTTTTCTCCTCGCTCTCGCCTCTCTCGTCGCTCTCGCACCGTCCCACTCTCTCAATGCCGTCCATTGTTAGCCGTGTTGAGGCTGATTACTGCCAGGAGAAGAATGAAAGAAAGGTGGCATGGCGCAGGACAGCAGGAGAATAGCTGCCGCGTGTAGAAATGGCAATACCTTGGCTGTTTCCTTGTACTGCCCCCCCCCCCATCACACACAAAACATACACGCTACGACGGTAGTGCACACAACCACGACAGCACACACGCCACGCGCTAATACAATCACCACACACACCGCGCGCGCGGTCGGGCACCTGACAATAAGACCCGCTGTATCCTAGATCACGTATCCGTGTACCACTATATGGAACTGCTACAACGTCGCACCCCTACCACTTCTACTACTACCACCCCTCTCTACTACTGCTATCTCCTGTTCTACCTACCCTACTCTACTCACCCTACTGCTCCCTCGTCCTACATACTACCCTCTCCCTCCCCACTACTCCTGTCCACCAACTCCCTCTACTCGTACCCCCCTACTCACTCCTTCTACTTCCTACCCTTCTCGATCTCCTCCTATCTACCGTATCCCGCATCTACTACGCCCCTACTACATACTCCCTACTACTTACTACTCTCATCCCCCCTCCCCCTCCCTAACGTACTGCTTTTACACTAGCTGGTTGGGTGAGTTCTCTACGTATGAACGTAGATAGCGTACTACCCTGCGCCAAATCGATCGATGTTTATCCGTGCCTGCCGATTTATGCCTTCACATCCAAAGTGTCTCTACGATCAACGTCCATCTCTACTACTCATCATCTATCTCTTCTCTCATCTCTCTCTCTCTCCTCTCTCTCTCTCGTCTCTCTCTCTCTCTCTCTCTCTCTCTCTCTCTCTCTCGCTCTCTCTCTCCCTTCTCCTCTCACTCTCTAACTCTTTTTCTATGTCGATCGCTCTCTCTCGCTCGCCTTTCTTTCTCGGTTGCTCTCTCTCTCGCTCTCTCTCTCTCTCTTCTCGATCGCTTCCTCTCTCTCTCTCTCTCTACGTCTTCTCTCTCTCTATCTCTCTCTCTCTCTCTCTCTCTTTCTTTATGCATATATAAGTATATTATATATATATATATATAGTTATCTATACGTAGTATTATGATACTATATCCCTCTTTTTTCGTCATATATACCCTCTATGCGTCCTCCAGTTCTTTCTACCCTCCCTGCTCCTCGTCTATCTCTTCATGTTCTCTCCTCCGACCATACACAATAACGTATGACAAGCACTAAAGCTGCGCTATGTATAAACTGTTCTTATTTTTCGATACGAGGATCGTTGCACCAGTACAGCATGTTTGCTGATGCGATCTAGGCATGCTGAAGCGCACACGCTCTCCATCGATCCGCCTCTTTCTTCTCGGCGCGCTCTCTCTCTCTTCTCTTCTCTCTCTCATCTCTTTTCTCTCTCTATCTCTCTCTCTCACCGCAGCGACTGCCGTGTGCTCTTTCCCTAAAAACTCTCGCCTGATCTTTAGTACACTTGACGCACAAGTCAACACACGGCGAGGCGGCAGAAGCGCCACGTGTCACACTTCTCAGCCCCTGACGTAGGAAACCAAGCGCTGTGGTGTCAATTCCCTATAGTATGTCATTTCTGACCAGAAGCGTTCGTTGTGCTCTCCGCCTTGCCGGCTGTCTTATCACGCCAAACCTGATAATAGCCGATTGTTGATGATGAACAGCACACAGGCTTGTCGGTAAAGGGTAAAAACCACAAATATGTCCTGTGCCCGCACGATGTCGTCTTATTCAACATAGCGGAAGTCTGACATCGCTCATTCTTACCACCGCGGACACAACATAAAGCACAGGATCATGGCGGAGAGGAGCAGCAATATTATAGGCAAAACGAGAGAGACACTGAGGGACAGAGAGAGAGAGAGAGAGAGAGAGAGAGAGAGAGAGAGAGAGAGAGAGAGAGAGAGAAGAAGAGAGAGCGAGCAAGAGAGAGAGAGAGGAGAGACGTTAGAATACGTTGGTCTCATCTCACTCAACTCTCTCATAGAGCCACCGCAGCCAATCCTTATTATGAACCCAGATATCCCTAAACTCTGTTAAACTCGGTTTGCCTGTCGTCTACGCAATATTTAGTATATATGAAGCAGCAGCAACAGGAGGAGGGTGAGTAACAGCAGCAACAGCAGCAGCAGCAGCAGCAGTAACATCAGCAGTAGTAGCAACAGCAGCCGCAGCAACAGGAAGAGGAGTAACAGTAGCAGCAGCAGCAGTAGCAGCAGCAGCAGTAGTAGTACTAGTAGTAGTAGCAGCAGCAGCAGCAGCAGTAACGTCATCATCATCATCATCAGCAGCAGCAGCAGCAGCCGTCATTTCTCTATCGGGCCTGTCATAAATCAGTCATGACGATCTGCAGTAGGAGGGATTTGCAGCTAAATCGGTGGCCGGGGGTCACAGGCACGACTGTACGGGGCTGTAGGTATATACAGTTACCGCACACTGTGATCTCAGCACATGGAATACCCCCGTCTACGTACGAACAGGGAATAAACAACGATGGTTCGGGTAACAAAATAGGCAGGATGGCAGCTCTGGCTTTCGTGGCACGCTCTTTTCCTCCTCTATTCGACTGCGTTTCACACGCAGCGTATGTGTACGTGCATGCCTGCGTGTGTGTGCGTGCATGTTCGTGTGTGTATGCGTACGTGTGTGCGTGCGCGCTGTGTGTGTGCGTCAGTGGCCCACTAACTTCTGGGATGCCACGAGCGGTGTTTTGAAATACGTACGGTAGATTTTATTCCAGTACGAGGCTGAATCACGCAAATGTATTTTTAGGATATCGGTGTTTATGTCCGCATGGGTGTGTTTAAGCTATGGTTTAAGCAATGTTTGTACTGGCTTAGAGACATTAGCTCTGCGAAGAAAGTGTATTTCTAAGAAGCACGTTAACAAAAAATATGCCATTACCGTACAGACAGTTGCGTAGCCATATATACAAGTAATGATGTACTTTTTCATTTGAAATTTCTGCTCTCTCGTAACATAGAAGTAAGGATGGACAATGCTGAAACATTCGCTCATACACGTTTTGAAGGGAAAACCCCAAACGATCGCCAACTAGTCCGTCAAACAAGTTTATATATATTATATGCTCTACTAGCACAGCCGCTGAGCACTGCTGACACAGAATTGGTAAATATGTTACTTTGCCCAATCTGCCTTTCTTGAGACTACTCGAATTTCAGGGTAACTCTGTAATAAATATGCACACGACTAGATTTCTCAACTGAACTCAGGAAGCTGTTAATGTTATGCGTTAATGCTGATGTTATTGTTCATGTTAATTTTAGGCGTTTTTTTTTAAAGAGTTTTACTAAAGAGATTTAGCTGGTACATCAGCTACATTTTTAGAAACTTAAATGGTAATCCACTGATACACCCTTCGTGGACCACTTAAACCGTACGTACAAACTCACATGTTACGTGAATTTATGAGAAAAAATATTATGTGTATACCACCCACACACAGCTGCAGCTACCGCGGGAACGAAAACATAGTATATCACCCCGTTAACTCATCATTACTATCAGTGCTCTGTGCAGCTGTATGGTTGTGCAAAAAGAAATGAGTAAATGCACAAAAAGTGTTCCAACCTTCATTCACTATAACACATCCGCGGTCATGCAATAATTCACATTGGGGGAAAAAAGTGTTTTTTTTCTGAGACACTAATTGCCGCAGAGCCCAATGATCTATTTCCACACATCTCTTTACAATGACTCATCCAATGACTCTCGTTTCCCGCACAGAAGCCCATAACTCCGCAATTTTGTAGCTTCACTCGCCACTAACGCTACTCATTACCTAATGGCTGCTGTCAGGCTCGACAATATTAAAACAGGAGAACGGCAAGTGCCACGTGCGCCATAGTGCTGGCAAATTAATGATCAGCAATGTTTTAATAATCTATAAGGGAAGCCGCACCTTTGGATAAAAACTTATCAGAAATTCATGTAACCAGTGCAGTACGTCAGTTCTGCGAATGGGGACATCCTTCTGACATTTAAATAAAAGCCCATCATATATACCCATTTGACCACATAACTGTTGCAAGCATGCCAACATCAGCCTAGTAACTTGTGCAGCACACTAGAGCTCTCTGCAAGCATGGACCCTCACCCACCGGGTGACCCTGCTCCACCCACACCATCAAGTTGAAATCCCCATTCTAACAGAAACCCATCTAACTGTTACAGCACACCAGTTCTGTGAATTAAGGATGCCCCACCTTTAAATAAAATGGGGACGCTTCCCCCTTAAAGCAGGGACCCCCCACCTCTATTCCACCCCTTTTAATCAGGGACCCCCACCCCACACCTTTAAGGAGGGACACCCATCACCCCATCCGGGCCATCCCACACCTCTAAAGCAGGGACCCCACCCCATACCTTTAAGCAGAGAGCCACCCCCCACCCAACACCTTTAAGCAGGGACCGCCCCCACACACCTTTAAGCAGACTCCCCCTCCCCCCCGCTCACCTGCGAGTAGCTGTAGCACGCCCCCAACGCGCGCCGCCCCCTTGCTGACGACGTCGCTGATGCAGCAGGCGAAGATCGCCGTGAAGCCGACCAGGAGAAGCAGTCCGCAGCCGACACCGACGACGACGGCGCAGATCTGCCACGAGAGGCTGGGTACGTCGGCGAGCGTCGTGTAGCGTCCGCACTCGTTGACGACGACGACGGCGCCGTCGTCGTCGACGCGCGGATAGTTGCAGCGGCGGAACGTCCCGAAGTAGACGTCCGTGGCGTTGAGCATCGTGCCGTGCAGCCAGTAGGGAAGGTAGTACCCTGTGCAGCAGAGCGTCGCCGTCACCATGGAGAGGAACGCCCAGAAGAACCCTGCACCACTCAGAGTGGTTGCCATGTTGCTGACGAGCTGAGAGAGAGAACGGGAGAAGAAAGGACATGTCGTCGTCACTTCGGGTATCGTTACCCATGTGGCCCACTGGCTCTATAGGAGAACCCTGTTGTTGCCGAGCGAGGGGCCACACGGGTAGAGCTGCACATTTCATTTGGTAAAATGATTGATAAAACATCATTAGAAAAAATTCGTCATCATTATATTTACATCTGTAAAAGTTTAGTGACAATTCAAAACTAATTAGTGCAATTCAATGCGCGACAACGAAGCTTCTTGTAGTTAAATCGAATCGATATGAGTTCGTGTACTTGCTGAAATATGCCGATACACTGATATCAGGAGCTGATATAATGATCGAGTGACACGGTTCATGTTGGGTTGTACGTACATCACCACCTACGTACAAATCGAAGGCGCAAATCCACTTTAGGCACCTTAGGTATCACGAAGTGATTCACAGATTTCTGTGTATCATCAACTGATGCACAGACTTTCCGTATATCAAAGAATGATGCAAAAACCCTAACCCTAACCCTAAGTCATAAAGTATAACCTTAGGCTTATGAAGTTATGTATCACGAAGTATGTTAAGGTTAGGGTTAGGGCTAGGGTTAAGGTTAGGGTTTTTGCATCATTCCTTGATATACGGAAAGTCTGTGCATCAGTTGATGATACACAGCAATCTGTGCATCACTTCGTGATACCTAAGGTGCCTAAAGTGAATTTGCACCCCAATGGCATGCATATTTTTCCTAAATCAAAACCAAAAACGGAAGAAGAAAACTTACCATTTAAGAAAATTTACATGTAACGCAGAGCAACTTTATAGTCCAATATCGATGGTAGTGACGTGACCGATGTAGGATCAAGCTGTAATGCGACGAGTACTACTAGTACTACCAGTATAGTGAGTAACTCGTATCACAGTAGTCAATATGCGTACACACCAGTGGTCAACGTACGCTCCCGCTTATCGGATTCTTGATCGCGGTAGATCCCTTTATTTACTTTTTCCGTGACCATCTGTGTCGTTTACCGGCCATCGGCATGCATACTACATCACCAAAGTCATTGCCAATGTCGCATGAACGCACATTAACGTACGCAGACCACTATTTAGTTAAAATCGCCACAGCAAACAACAAAACAAGCCGACAATCACTGCCAGAGATCAACACGAACACACTCGCGTGCGAACATTGTGTGTTGCTGTCCAGCGATGAGGCCCTGAACGTGTGTTGCCGCCACGGAACAGGTTTCAAGCGTGAAGAACTAAGAAAACAAAGAATGGCATGTGCGCGCCATCTCGTGGACATTTAATCCTAAAATCAAATAAGAAATGCGTTAAATTAATTTACATATAAATTCCCTAACACATAATATCAGGAGTGTATCAATACATTTGATTGATACAATTGATACACTCCTGATAATATGAGCATATTACATGATATGATGACACACAACCCTGCCAAACAGTAAATGCAAAACAGTGAAAATCATAAAGCAGCTATTTATTAGCATTTTCAATCGTCAGTGTATTTATTGATTCTTAAATTTTATGCTCATTAGATGATGAATAATTTCCACCTGCAGCACCAAGGCAATATTAGCTGCTGCTCTTTGTCTAGATTCTACATTCTAATTACCACAGTCAAATATTAATGAAGCACCATGCTTCATCTAATTAACATTTCAAAGGCGAAGCCATTCTGCACTCCTTGAAAAATTATGAAATGTGTTCAGAGTGTATGGTAGAGGTCTTTAATGTAAAGACCAAAAATTCGTGTTCCTTTCCTATGGAGTGTCTCCTCGGGTCCAAGTCACCCTAGTGTCAGGAATTTATTTGTATTATATTTTCATCGTGTTTATTTAGGTAATTGTCTATATATACATACTGCTACAATGAATTTTGAATTGAAGAATTTAGATAACCGCTAATGACACACAAAGTATGAGCACACTTATTTGTGGTCCTTGCAACGTTACTCTTAATCATAACACTAACAGCAGCACTTTGAACAATCAAAATATACAAGGAGAAACGCAAGTATATTTGAGATTTATATATAAATCTATAAATCTATAATCTATAAATGTATATAATATATAATATAGTGAACTTATAACTACTTTGCTCACGGAAGTCCCGTGTAAGGATTAGTCTGTCTCTGCTCTTCTACTGAACCAATCCTTTGCAGAACGGGAAGCGTTACTTGTAACAGGGACAACACTTATTACATAATTATAATATTAGGAGTGAATAATAATAGATATATTATTATAATAGGTCATAGATTTATTATAATAATCTATTATTATTCACTACTGATAATATGAACCATTGAAATATATATATACCTATCATGTACCTGGTATATGTTTATTTATATAATACATATAGGTATATATGTGATATGTAGATATATATATATATATATATATTATATGAATCAAGGCCTATAGATATAAACAATGATAAAAACGGTTTATTTATAGGCCTTGATATGAACAGGAGTCTATCAATATTGTTAGACTCCTGATATGAATGCATGAATGAACCATGGAATGAACATTGTGAGGTGCTGACATCTGTGGCGGAAAAAAGTTTATGTCACGTGACAAAACTTTATCAGAGTTCATCATGGCGGCGAGAGTTGATGATGTGCGAGTGCAAGAGAGCTTAAAAATCAAGATAGGTAAGCACGTAAAGTTGTCATTATTAAATTATTGTAGTCCTCACAGAATATGCATATGCATATATTGTAACAATATGGCGACGTAGGTGCATAAACTCGTAAGATTTGGTTGATGTCAACACTGTCATCTTGCGGCCGATTTTCGGTGACGCGTGTGTGTGAACCATCGCCGCTTTGCCGACAAACTAGCAACGAAGTATTACAACTACAAGTTTAATCGACCGGCAAACATCTTTCGTTGCCGATGAAGTTTATTGTACCGCAAGTAATATTTGTTACGTTGTGCGCGCAACAATTAGTATGGTAATCACAATAATAGGTGCGAGGGAACGGTGGCGAATCGGACTAGAATTGTTGACTAACTTGGTGAGTTGGCGTAGCTGGAGTTGTCTTTTCCACTACACTGACCACTGTGGCACTGTGCTACCGACGTACCGTGTCTAGCAATCAATCATAATAATTAATGTCACCGTCTCTTGCTGACACGTAAACTATGAAGGAGTGGCAATATTACAAGGTGTTGACTGTCTATTCTGTTGACATCAATTATTTAATCATAAATGGTAAGCAACATCATTATTTGTGCTTGTGATATATATAGCCTATAGGTAGTTTATGTGTTCCACTGCCAGTGCCATGCAGGAACTATGAGTAGGCTATGTCACTCATGAAACATGAGTTGGATTCTATTACTTTAAATTTTATGCTGAAATAATTTACAATATTACTGTGTTTAATGTAGGTATTAAGGTATTAGTGTATTTAGTGTATTTAGGTATTAAGAAATTTACTGACTCCCCCCTTAACTGTCAGCTTGCATGTAAATTTTGTGGCAGGTATCTAGTTTTTATAGCCATGATTAGCTGCTTATTTCACTCCCAGTGTTTGATAACATTGATTGATTAAGGATAATAACAAGTAGTGTTTAACTCATTCTGAAAGCTTTTCACTTTCACTTTTCGCAATGGTGAATAGTATTAGATTTTACACACTATATTGACCTAATACAAATGACACGTTAGTATTGCAACGGAAAGTTTGGAGTTATTACCTGATTAACATTTTTCAGTCTTATATTTATTTATACAAACCTATATATATATAATGTAAAACACGTTTTTGTTGTGCATGTGCCGATGATGTGGTGTAGAATTGGGTTTGTACAGTAGACAGCGTTTTCACATATATTGGTGAACTTTATGCATCATCAAACACCACACACTATTTGACTAAAGCTACCCAAGCCTTTAAGAAAAAGGCGGAAAACAATCGTCTGTGAATCATTACCATCCTGAGTTCTTAATTGATGCACGGGTGAACTTTGACATGACCTGCAGTGTGTAAAATGCCTATCGAAGTCTTGTGTGAGAGCTGTTTTATCTGTGCGTAGCACATGGAAAGCAGTATGGATATGCAAGCAGCTGGCATTCACTCACTGGTCACAGTCTGCCGCACCAGAATGGCCAGTGAGCGGAAACTCATTTCATGCTGGTCACAAAGAGTGGAGCATTTAATTTTACTGGTGTCTATCCTGTATTTAATTTTAAGCTAGCTCTATTGCAGTGATTGCACTTGCCCGAACGCTTGCACAATGTAGGGGGTATGTGCCACACCAAGATTTCCTCTTCTCTCTCTTACACTCTCTCTCTCTGTGTGCGTGGGTGCGAGAAGAGAGAGAGAGAGAGAGAGAGAGGGAAGGAGAGAGAGGGAGAGAGAGCTACAAACTACGTGCAGTGTGTAAATTCTCGTCTGTGCATACACGTGCGTGTGTGTGCGAAATAATTTCCAATGTTTGCTAATATCAGATGCCCTGTCTTTTTGCAGTGGAATAATATATGTAATTAAGTAATAATGTATACATATGTAAATGTATTAATAGTAAGTAGAAGTACGGCATTAATTCATGATTATATAGGTAAGAATTTAATCTGCCAAAGAGGAAATTGTTCCGCTAATATGTTCTGTATGAATAATAGTGGTAAATATTTGGTTACTTTGGTCTCCGTATGGAATTCTTCTCATTCCAAAAAACCACGTTTCTGTGTTTGTACAAGGGAAACGAAATTGAGGCCACATATGATTTATGCGTTATTGCCGAATGAATACGATTCGTGACAATGAACTTCTGAAATGAGTCTGTGAACAAATGATTGTGTGTTTGTATGCGTGTGTGCAAGTGTGTATGTGTGTGCGTGCATGATTGTATGCCTGTATGGTGCTTACGTGTGCATGTGCGTGTGTTTGAGTTGCGGTGCTTTTGGCGTTTTGGGTCACAGACCGTCCTGTCCGATGAAATGAGTTTGCACCCATTTTTGCCTGCTGGTCCATATATTGCACTGTGTTCTGCTGAGAGCTCGCTTACTGTAATACACGTTCATTCAGATATTACTGTGCCGGCTTGGTTCATTCAGGAGAGAGCGAGGCGTGTAAAACCACGGCCCGAATTCATTCACAATTCCCACCATACAGCGGAGTCTAATAGATGTGGCGGCGTGGCGTTTTTCGACGACAAATAATCCGCGTGTTCGCGCTTATTGTGCTAGAACTTTTCCGCACGCCCCCCATCCGCTTGCGCGCATGAGAGAGAAGGGGGGCCTCTTTTATCGCGACGAGACATCGCGCTTTCGGACAACGCCGCGAGAACAGATGCCTTCTGCGAAAAGAAAATCGCGATAGTTTGCGGCGTGGGCGAAACATTTTTCAGGGTATTATATTGTCGGCGACCCTCTTGCATCCGTCATAGCAACAGGGACGCAGCGTTCGCCACCGCCGCCACCTCCATACTCACAGGTGCTCGTTGGAATAGTGTGGTGCGCACGAATTCTTCGAGGCTGTCGGTATGTGTGAGCTGTATAGTAGACGACTTGCCCACGACTTGCGCGAGGTGCCATATAAAGCATGTGCACAGTCGATGCCTGTATGAGTGGTCACCTACGGAACAGACACCTATCTATAAAGGGCACTTTGTACTTCTCTTGTGTGGCAGTTATACAAGGAAACCACCTCTACAGAACAGGGCATCTGTCTATAAAGGACACTTTGTACTTTTCTTGTGTGGCAGTTATACAAGGAAACCACCTCTAGTACCTCTACAGAACAGGACAACTGTCTATAGAGAGTACCTGTTGGGGTTTCTTTCGAGTGGCACTTCAATAGTGAAACCACATGTATAAAACAGATACCTGACTATAGACTATAGAGGACACTCGTTAAGTTTCCCTTTAGTGACCATTATATAAGCTTGACTGTATATAGCAAGCTGACGCCCACGACTATGTGATATAAGGCGAAGTGTAAAGAATAAGCGCCCGCAGGTGTCTGCGTAATACATCCATTTAAGGATATGAGCTTACTCATGTATTGGGTGCCCTTCCACTCCCCACAAGTTTAGATGCAGGTGAAATGCAACCTGCAAAACGTGATCAACGTGCAAAACGTGTGCAACGTGATGTAAAACGAAATGCAACACGTAATGGCATCGCGCGTGATCCGCGGCATTGTTCGTAGAAATTACAGTGTAAAATCGGTACATTTCGAGAGCATTAACGAAAGATTCTTGTTATAACAGAGAAAGAGAGAGCGAGAGCGAGAGCGAGAGAGAGAGAGAGAGAGAGAGCGAGAAAGAGAGAGAGAGCGAGAGAGAGAGAGAGAGAGAAGAAGGAGAGAGAGAGAGAGAGATAGAGAAGAGAGAGAGAGAGAGAGAGAGAGAGAGAGAACGAGCTGTGCGCTGTTATCGCTGTTATGTTAAACACAGACCTCTCATCGTTTTATGCGAGTAGCGTTCAACTCGTGCGTGCGCACATCCGGTGGCGTGTATTAGTAAACGGGCTTGGCAAGTAAGTCCAACACGCGTATCGTGGCGTTGCCCTAGAGCGAAGGTGTGTTCGTTCGTGCGTGCGTGCGTCGCGTGCCGTGTGTGTCGTGTTGTGATTGATGTCAGATGGAGGGAAGCTGGCGTATAAAAGGGATCGGTCTCCGCATGCCTTGTGATCTTGACTGCATGACACACTCGCGGCCTGCTGTGTGTCACATTGTTTACTTAAATACGTGTATGGCCATAACGACCTGCTGCCTGCCTGCCAGCCTGCCTTACCTGCCTGCCCGCCCCGGCACCCATAATAGCTCGGGGCAGGGTTAAAATGTGTGTGTGTGTGTGTGTGTGTGTGTGTGTGCGTGCGTGCGTGCGTGCGTGCGTGTGTGTGTGTGCGTATTGTACGATTTTTCTGTAAACCTGAACTATCATTAGTGAACCTGGTTGTTGGTCTAGCTGCCTGTGTGCCTGCCTGCTTACCTAGTTACCTGCCTGCCTTCCTCGCTGGCTGTTGAGCTGCCTACTTATGACTATCTGCCTACCTACCTGTTATATATTATCTGCCTACCTGCCTGCTATGCCTTATCTGACTACCTGCCTGTTTAGTGTTTACCTGCCTGCTTGCCTACCTACTAGGTTAATTACGTGTCTGTCTGCCGTTCTGGCTGCGTGCCCGACCTGGCTTTTCTTTCCTTCTGTGTTTCCCTGAAACAGGGGTATCCCTTACTCATAAGAGAAATCTTGGAAATGCTAGCGGTATGTGTAGGTGGGTAGCTTAGTCACTCAGTGAATGAATGAATTTAAATACTTACTACACATTCCACAGCACTAGTCAGCGTGCCGTTCTTTGCAGACGTGCAGGTATCTCCGGGTTCCTTGTGCACCAATAAGAGAAGTTGCGTGTATTATGCACTTATTGGGCTGTGTTCACCATTGGTGCGTGTGTGAGCAAAGTATTAAGAACTGCAATTCGTGGTAATGTATGCCTGCGTGCGTGCTTGTGTGCGTGCGCGTATGCATAAGTGTGCATGTGTGCGTAAGTGCATGTGATACAGTTTAACTATCTGTTGTGTCTCTTGGCTTCAGTTTAAGGGGAAGTTTCAGACCTTGACTGGCAAATAAGGTTCAAGATAAGGTTAAGAATAACACAACCTAAATAAACATACTTATATATAAAAGAAACGACCAG